GCAGACTGATCTCCCAGCAGGCTGCAATATGTTCCCAGAAGGTACAATATCATTCTGAGGCCAAGGAACAGCCTATTAGCTCTGCATGCCATTAATTTTCATGAATAGTTCAATCTGATGCTCACAGGAGCTGTTGGGCATCTTTCCATTTTGTCTCACAGGACCTGGATGAGGGCTTATTTATCTTTTTCCTTCATACCTTAGCTCTAAGCCTAAGCAGTTCAGTGCAGCTGTGCAGGTTTCCAGCCCTCTGCCAGGCTCGGTGCCCAGCAGCAGGCAGGATGCTGTCTGCAGGTCGGAGTGATGGCATGTCACAGTCAAAGCCATTCAGGGAGAATTAAACTTCAGGCTTGTTCGACTAAACTTCTGAATTCACCACAGTTCCCCTGTTTTGCCAGCCTGAAGAAACAGCCCAGCAGGTTCTTGACTCATATGCCAAAATGCCTCCTTCATCCTCCCTGGAACTGGAAATGATTACTAATAGGTATTCTTGCTGAAATGATTTAACATAACGCGCTGAATGAGATCACTAAGTCAGAGTATCTTTTCCTAAGTGACTCTCTCACTGCTTGCCTGAATGCCAGAGGGGAAGGAGGATAGCATGAAGTGAATTCTTTTGCTAGCTTTTTACAAAATCTCATAAATTACTGAAGAACTCACAGTAGGAAGTTCCACTCAGGTTCATTACAGGAGATCCGTGATGCGGGTCTGGCAGGCAGAGGAGGATGGAGACACAGGGGTTTGGGTTCACCTCTCTCTTTCAAGCTTTCCCCTTTTCCAGTGCTCTCCAGTCTGGGCTGGGAGCTGAAGACAGGCAGTGAAATGAGGTGGGCATGAGAGCAAGGCTGGTGAGGGGCTGGGCACTCTTTGCCCTGCGTGCACAGCCCTGGGTGTGCATCACTGTGGCAGCTGCATCTGTTACAGGAGGCTGCAGGCACCAATGAAACTCAGAATCTGGGGAGGGTGTGTGCACCACAAAACTCACCTGAGCATGCCAGGGATACTGAGAGGCCAGGCTGCCCTTACCCATCCGAGTCTGTCAGCCTCAAAATTAACTGATTGAGGTCAGCACTCCTAACAGGAGTGCAGAGTTTTGATTGAGTCTTCCTTTCTGAGAAAGCCCCATCGTCCCTGGCCCAGTACAGCTATTACCTGCCAACCTAAAGGATGATGAATGTTATTTATATTGCAGTAATGGCTAACCACTCAGTGGAGACGAGGGACAGGCTGTGCTATGGACTTTTCAAACACCCACTGAATGAGGGCTGCCCACAGATGCCTGGAAGTGCTGAGACTTTTCAGGATAATGTTCTTGAATGCCTTGGACATGATGACCTCCAACAACTGCAGTACTTGTGCTGACTGCAACAACAAAGGGGGCTGTTCTACAGTAAAGATGTTCATTCCTACCAAATTCTTATCAGTCACTGTGACATACCCTTATAATAGCAAAGAACTCATCTACTTCAAAGCAAGCAACTACTTGATAAGAGGCTTTTAAGTTCCTTGATCAAAAAATGTGAAATATAATCTCTTTCAAACCAAACCGAAAACATAGAGGTATAAATTGTTATTCTAATGGAAAGTATTCCTAATATTTAGCTGCTATTGTTCTGCTGTTCAAGAAATAAAGTGAATCAATGAATAAGAACTACTCAAGATGAAGATGGGAAAAGTAATCTAGCAATAGTAAAAGATGAAGGGCCTGATCCTATTAAAAAAACGCGTAAGACTAATTTAACTTTGGCATGTGCACACTTGCAGGATTAAGCTTCAAATAATTACAGAGAAATTTAAGAACTGATAAACAACAGCTTTAGCTGTCCACTACAGGGAGCCCAGAGAGTGGATAGCTGACACTTCCCAGGAAATACCCTTTCAAGAAATAGCCCTGCAAAGATGCAGAGGAAAAACAACTAAAATATTCAATGCAGATGGTCTTTTTCTATTAGTGATTCCCTTTATATCTTGGAAAAATCACACAGTGACTCCTTTCATATGCACTGAGGTAAAAAAACCTAAATATTAAGTGACACATTCTACCACGGAATGCCTTACAGAAGGTGCTGTGAAATAAGTGTCAGCCCCTCTTCTATTCCTTCTACAATTAATTTTCCACTGCTACAGTTCTAAAATATATCCAGAAATCAGCAGACATTTGTGTCTATCAGATACCTGATTAAAATACAAGTGCTAAGAAACACCTTACTTTTAATTATACTCTTTACACTTAAAAGCTGCTTTGGACAGGGCTGTGTCAGAGCTTCATAGCCAGAAGCCTGAAGATCTCAGAGCCCAAACAGACTAAGCAGGGAACAACCTGATTTGTTTTCTTCTGCCTTTTCCATCAGATGAGTGTTCACATCAAAACTGAATGGGAGAAATTAAGCACACAGGGAGAGACTGCAAGAACTTTCTGGCTGTCTCAACTCTAGAAGTCTCCTAAGAGGTCGGATGTCTCAACATCTGGGCATTCCTTTCACTGTCAGACATTAAGAGCAGTGGGATTTATCAGCAATCTGCTGAGCATATACAGATGACAACTGCAGAGCTTGGAGGGCTCAAAGGCATTTGCAGATAGAAAGGGGTTTGCAAAAGACATGTTGAGCCAGAGCTGAGTCCTGGAGCCTGTGAAAATTGCTCCCAATTGCTGTTAAACCTTTAGCTGTGGTAGTTAAACCAGGCACTGCAACATGCACAATTTATCCTAGGTGTGCTTTACCATTGCACAGACTGTTTGAGGGAGGCTGATCAGCCTCCATGTCACATTTTACCAGGGAAAGGCCTTTGGGATGATTTTGGAAGGTGGTCTTTGCTGCCTAAAATACAACTCCATCTATCACTCAAATACATGGAAATGAAGTGTCGTTTATGAACAGGTTTTGGATTTTTAAAGTACAAATTTCATGAAAAATAGATTTAGAGCTCTCTCCAGCACCCACATCTCACCTAATGGTACTTCATCCCTCGTTGATTTCCAGCCTGTTGCCCCTCCATGATCTACATATCTTCCTAAATCTTTTAAAGTATCTTCTTGTCAAAAGGATATGTATGACTTGCTGACATCACACAGAGATGCAGTATATCAAAATGTTTTTGCTGTCCTGACATAAACTCCAAATTATTTCCAAAGTCAGCTGTATTTTCAATAATTTGTCCCCTTTTCATTTTTCAAAATAGCTTTATTCACTTATGATAGCAAATTCCTCAAGTCCCTCCATCTTCAAACCAGACAGTGATAGAACTCGGCACCAAACCTTTTATAGCAGCAAATGTGTTTTTGTTTCCCTGGCATCCTAAAAAAAAATAAATCTTTCTTCAGCTACAGTCTGTATACAAAAGTGTGTTAGCTCTGTGGTGTTCAAGAATAGCTAGTTAGACTCTGAGGCTATACATTCTTCTGCTAAAAGATACATTATCACATCTATGTCTAAATATTTATGCTTCCTGTTTGCTAAAAGCAACACCTACAATTGCTATAATTGGAAATGACAAAATAAAAAAGAAAATTTTCCCTAATTTGCCATCCTTCTGCATCTAACAACACTAAATATAGAGTCTAGTTCATTAGAGTTTTGCCTGTTTCTGTTCAGCTATAATGAGGGACAAATAATTGTGTTAAAAAGAAGCAAATGGAATTGTAAATATGACAGAAATGGAAAGAGATTGGATGGGTTGATGCAGCATCTGAAACCCCTTAACACATGTGAAAATACATGAACCATACGATTATTTAGCTGGAAAACACCTGTAAGACCAGTGAATCCAACCATTAACCCAGCACTGCCAAGCCCATCAGTAACCCACAGCCCTGAGAGCCCCATCTACACATCTTTTAAATACCTCCAGGGATGGTGGCTCTTCCACTTCCCTGAACAACCTTTTCCAGTGCCTGGCAACCCTTTTGATGTTAACTTGTGCCTCATGCAACTGCTTTTAACCACCACAGAGCAAAGATTGCCATCATTTCTTTCCACTGGATCTCCTTGCTCAGCAGTCTCATTAAGGTTTTACCCTTATTAGTGGGGTTTTCAGGCACTACACTTCATATAACTTGTCAGTAATATGCTTTCTTCTCCATTTTTGCATAGTGAAGTAATTGAAAAAATTTAAAACACATCACCATTTTTTTTGTGAGTGGGGACTTGTCATCATGTAGATATCACAAAGGAAAAAATACAAAAGCAGAAAATGTCATGGTGTCTCTTTCAAGCAGATGGTATTGCAGTAGCACTGAACAAGTTTATATTAATTACTTTTAGAAAGAGAAGGAGATGTCATATTTCAGATAGAGGATCCTACCAAACCCACAAAGAACAAGCCATAAATTTAACAATAGTGAGATTTTTTCATAGAATCATTGTGACAGCTGTCAAACTGGGGAAAACTTTTTGTTAATGCCAGTACAATTGCTCATTTAAACAAAAGCCAGTGATTCAGTCACACTGGAACAGCTCATGAGTCGAGCTCTGCTGCACAGTCTGCACACATGCAGATATTCCATCTATATGCAGAGTTGCTCTTTAATTTCCATCTTTGGGGCTACAGTGTGATTTGTCCAGAGCTGAGCAGAGCCCTACAATCAGGCAGAAGGAGATTTGTGATGGAGCTGTAACAAGCTGCCTGTGTTTTCTCTGCTTGGAAGGGGGAGCTTTGGCACTCCAGGCAAGCAGTCAGTGTAGGACACCTTCCCTGCATGCCAGGCTGACCATGTGGTCACTCTTTTATCTTGAGCCCTCAAAATAAAAGAACACAGCTCTTTGTAGAGATGCACCCTGTGTGCAGTGACAGACCAAAATACCAAAGGTGTCAACTGTATCCTCCCTCAGAGAGGGAGCTCACAAGGAAATCACAGTACAGATCTTGGTGCTGTCACAGGATCTTTGCAAGCAAAAAAATGCAGAGATCCCATCCCTCCACCCATGGGAGGGCCTGGACCATTAAGGCAATTTACTAACAGCAAAACCAACTCTGAAGAAGAAATGAAATGTAACTCTTACCTCCTCGTAGACATCATCATTCCTGCTGAAGTCTCCAGCCCTCCTTGGCAGCACGTGGACATGAACATGCTGGCAACGTGAAACAAAATAATGGTGATTATCAAGTTCATGACTTTCTTTTCTGAACTTTCAGCATTATTTTCAACACACACAAGGAACCGTGCACAGGCTCCCACAGCATTATTTTCAGAGGAAAATACATTAACCTGTTCCATAACTGTGTCTCAACTCTTTGGAGAATATAAAAGATGAAAAACATGAGAGAGCAGCCCTGGTGTATTATATGAGCTTCAGAGTGAAATGCCTGGAAGTTTAGGGGCTCTGTGGAATTATTCATAGTTGTCAGTCAGAGACATATTTAGCCACAGCTTTGAAATAACAATGTCCCTTGGAGCTGAGAGTTGTGTCTTTGGAATAGAGGGGAATAAGGGGGTGCTGGGGATGGGATGTGGTGGGGAGCTCGTGTGGGCAGCCTGGGCTCAGGGCTCCGTGTCTGGGGACAGAGGAGCTGTGCCACACCACGGACAGCACGTGGCTGACAGAAGGGGACAATGCCTCTCACAGGGTTAACAAGACTTTAATGGTTCTTTTCCTCCCTGGAGGCTGTAGCCCAAATACAACAAACTGAAGCCTGTGGGGGCACAAGACTTATGCTGGGGACACACCTGCAGGGACAGAGTGCCAGGTGGCCCAAAACCCGTGAGGCACAAGGATTATGAGCCCAGTTTGGCAGAGCCCTGTCCCTCTCCTGGCACGGGGCCACTGCCCACGGGGTAGCAGAGCTGCACAGGCAGCTCTGGGTTACCCTCTTTGGGAAGGAGGTGAATGGTGATGTGTTTCTGTCAAAAGTGCTGAACGTGATCTGGGGAAAACAAACAAAACTATGGGCAAGAACACAAACACCTTAATGTTGTGTTATTACTATTACCTTTTTTTTTTTTTTCTGACACTCTCTTCATACCATAAAGGAAGAGTAATGCAAGATCATCAAAATCCAAACTCTACTGGGAGAAATACTTTTCTGCAGTAAGTTCAGCTACTAACAACATTATAAAGCATTCTTTTCTCTTTTTCTCTTTGTCTTTTGCTCTTGAGTAAAGAAAAACAATAACTGAGAATAATTCTTCAGGAAAAAAACCCCAACACCTCAGTGAGGAGAGGCAAGAAATGATCTGAGTGATAGATCCCATTTATGCATCTTCAGATCTTTTTAGATGGTGCCTAAATCCTTTTAAAAAAAAAAATGACTGCATCAGAAACAGCACCAAATGGTTTGCAAAGAACTTAGATAGCTTGCACCTGATTCAATTTGATGAGGTAGAAATCAGCTGAAACTCCTGCACCTCATCAAAACATTCTCAAAACATGGCTTAAGTCTATAATGAAATATGAAATCTAAAAAGGTTTTCTTAGCCTATTTGTAAGAAAATTCAAACACACCTATATTGTGTTAGCTTCTATCCATAATAACATTTGCTCAGTGAATAAAATGAAAACAAAAGGATGTTTCAGTTAATGAAATATTCTGAATACCACACTATTTTTTTTTCTCAGCTTTACCCTCGAGAAACCGAATATGTGATTTCTTATTCTTATCATTATCCACAGCTTTCAGTGTATTCAGACTAGAGAGGAGGGTGACTCTTGAGGGTCAAAAACTGTGTTTTTGAGTAATATATCAGTGATAGTGTTCTGATAGTGTATTATACTAATATATCATAAGAGCGAAAGTGCTCCTGTGATGTATTAGTGCAATGTATCATCTGAACATCACTGCTCGTATGATGTATTGCTCAAAATCACAAAGCAACTTTAAAGACTGTCTTCAGTAGCCCTAGGCCTGAAATTTCACTTTTGGACAGACTTTCAAGAAAAATAAAAGTACAGATTAGAGTTTGCAGGGATACTGTAAAATTTCACTACTGTGTCACACCTGTTGTTCTCATCAGATTTTAAATTTATTCATAAGAAGAGAGTCAGTTCATCTGCCAGTTAGTTTCCTTCTCTTCTGCTACAAGGAATCATAGCTTTGCTACAATTACCAATTTTCAGGAATTTCTCTTGATGATATATATAAAATCTAATATCAGCTGTCAACAACCATATTCCCCAGAAGTTTAGCCTCCTTTGAGTGTAATTTTTATCTCTGGTGCAGAATGCTCCAGGACTCACACAGGAGAGGATCTGCATGCCCGTGACAGATGATTTGCAATATCAGAAAACACACAGGGATGGAGTCCAGAGCTCAGAGCAGAGATGCTGCACTGCAGATGCACAGACCAGCACAGCAGATAATGAATGAGCCTAATGTGATCTTCTACCCAAAATGGGCTCTTATGATCAGTGTGAATAAAAAAATAAAAGAAAAAGTGTTTATGACAGCATATGGGCCACTTGGCATCAGAGGGGATGTTCTCAGGGGTTAGTCACCTTTACTACATGCATTATGTTCTCACACACTGCCAGGCTGCATGGCAGAATCCATCAACTGTATCACAAAACAAACCAATATCCCCAAGGTTTGAGGTAACAACAATAAATTTTAAAAGCGCAATTTTTTCTAGTCATCTGTGGGGTTTTTTTGTTTGTCTTTTTAATAATTCTGTGTATGGAAACGAAATAAATATCTGGAATCTCCCCACTATTTGTATAACAGAAACAAACAAGATCAGCAACAGTGTCTCACATATTTCCCTTTTCTTCAGTTTTACCAAGAAATACAAGCAGCACAGAGCTGTGTCTAGTAGTCAGAAACACTAAACAGGGAGATTTCACACCTCTAATCTGCCTTTCAGCTTCTGGCCTTCTCAACTCAGAGTGGCTGATACTTTGATTCATTAGGAGATCTTTAATTAATCACTTTTACTCCTTAGTACTATTTGTTACTGCTAAAGCCTCAATCCACCAAGGCACTTAAGCATCAGCTCAATTTCCAACCTGTGAATTGGTTCAGTGGGAATATTCACATCCCAGATGTTTTGTTTATGTTTCAGTGTTTTGCATCTACTGATGGGTACCGGGAGGTCTCCCTAAATGGCAGGAGCAAAAATAACTTCAAAGTGCCCACAAATTAAAAGTTGTTTCCTTTCATTTGTTTTCCAAGCAAAACAAAAACCCACACATCCAAAAAAAAAAACCAAACCAAAACCATTTGCAATTGACTGAAATATGTCAGATTCAAACAAAACACTGGGATGCTTTTTTTTTAACTAAACAAATAGAATTAGGCAAATCTTCCATCAAAACACTGCTCGCATATCTGAACATTGACCAAAATGGTCAAAATAAAGCATTTCAGTTTTTTTTCCTCAGTTATTGTGGGGATCCTCATGCCTGGTGGGAGGCAGACAACCCCATCACATTCCAGCAGGCTGTGTTCAATCACCGTTGATGGTATTTCATTTTTTCCCTAAAAAATTGCTTTCCCCTCATTTTGCATTATTTTGATTAATAAGCAAGGAAAGCAACACACAACAGCCAAGACATTTACATTAATGGACCAATCAATATCACCCACATCAGGGTAGGAAAACGCAGGCACAGGCTTGCATGGCTTAGCTCCATTCCCCGCTGGTCAGGCACTGATGGAGCACGCAGGGCACTGACACACTGGGTGTGACACCGGTGACAATGTGAGGATGCAGCAGAAGTCCCCAGGTGAGGGACACCGTGTGAGTTAAAGATGCCTGAGCCCCACTGGTTGCTTCTGACACTGGGGGCAATATTTCCAGTCAGGGATATCTTGAACAGCAGTTAGCTGGAAGGAAGCTGTGGGAGCTGGATTTTATAGGACCTTCAAAATTAAAATTATTAAACTGACAGTTTTCTAAGGCAGGGACTGAAGCCCCTCTGCTTCACACTGTAAATAAAATCTCAGTTTGAGAAACTCTTAATTGTGAGACTTACCAGGCAATGTAAAATCACTCATAAGAGAAGCTTTTTCAAGACCTTTATACCCAGAATGACAAGAGCATTAGTAAATGTACTGCAAGGAACAAATCTGTAGTGCCACAGAGAACTAATGAGCCAGAGGCAGGGTGTGATGCCTCTGGCCTCCTGCTGCAGCAAGAGGATGCTGTGATGAGCTCCATGGCATTCCAGCCAGGACTGTGGGAGCACAGGGCTGCTCATGGGCACTCTGCAGCACACCTATCCCACCACTGCCAAGATCTGGCCTCCTCACAAGCATTGGGGGGATTACACGACTAAAGTTGCTCTCCAGTGAACCAGGGCTGCAAAATGCCCAGAAAGTCTCAGCAAAAAAGACCTGGAGCATGTGCTGTTGGAGAAACAAGCATTCAGGTCAGGCGAGTTTTACTTCAGCACTCAAGGCCATGCAGAAAGCAATGTTCCTGGTTATGGCTGGTTTTATATACTGAATTATGGTCAAATAACCAACGTGTCACCACTGCACTGGATTTAAAGTGAAAATACTGGACAAAAATAGACACTGAAAGAGATTTCCCTGGTAGACCGGAATAGTGAAGAGCAGATGACCCTGCCAAACACCACTGTGGAGGACATGGGCATTGCCTGCAATAATTCATGGATATTATGTTGTGCTCACACAGCTGCTGTGCTGGTCAGCAGAGCTTCCAGTTGAAAGGGAGATAATAGTCTGTACATGAGCTGCTCAGCACCCAGGCTCTATTAACAATCAATGTTCTTACAGCATGAATACATAAAAGCTGGCCAAGGGTCACACAACCCTGAGGATGAGGGGGCCAAAATGTTGGCAGAGGAAGGGCTGTTGGATCCCATCACTGTTACAAAAGGCTGCTCCTCCTGAACCTGCAAAAGGAGAACAAGGCTGAGCTGTGCCTTCACACAGCAGAACCAGATGCCTTTTCAGCAGCTTAATCCTTTCCCTTGTTACTTTTCTTTCTTGTTGCAGTCAAGGCTTGGCAGTTGTGGGTTCTCATGGTGCAGCAGGACAGGAAAAGCTGTGATCTGCTGTGCCTGTGGCCAGGCAGGAGGAAAGGCAGGACGTGAATCAGCAGCTCCAGGCAGCAAGACCAGCAGGCCAGAGACACTCAGTTCACTGGGTAAAGGGATGGTGGTTTTCACAT